GCCCTATAACGAAAATCTCTAAAAAAAAAAAAAAAGAAATCTGTGTTGTCCCATGAGATAAATGGGATTTATAAATAACTCTGATGGAAGGTTGAGGATAACTTTGAAAAAGTCGGGAAATAACAGAGGGAAAAACTATTGGATATCAGAGGTAGGAAAAAGCTTCATAAAGCAACTTATTTAAGCTATATAAAAATCGAAATCAAAGTAAAGGAAACTTCAGGACATAAATAGAAAGAGAACATTCTACTTCCATGATCTGATCATTAATGACAAATCCTGGGGCTGGTAGGTGGTGTTAAGGTGGTTAAGGGCGCTGGACTCCCAGATGGCCAACCGTGACTCAAGTCCTGAAACTGGAGACTTGCTTTCTCACTTTCTCTCGCCTCCCCCTTGGTCAAATTTTAAAAAATAAATAAATAAAATAAAGTTAAATAAAAATAATTCTTAAGGGACCAGCAGTTGGCATAGTGGCCATGTCGCTGGACTCCCATGTAGTGGACCACGGTTCGTGTCCCGGACCCGGTGGCTTAAACTCACGCCGGGCGCGTGTGCGTGCGTGCCCAAGATCCCGAGAGGAGAATGGAGGAGAAGGGATTGTGGCGTGGCCATCCCCCCTGGGGGATGATTTCTTGCTTTCTGTCTCTCTGCCTCTCTCTGTCTGTCTGGCGAGCGCACGCGCCCTATAGTAAAAAAAAAGAAAAAGAAAAGAAAAAAAACTCTCAAAAAATATATATAGGTCTTAAAATATTTTTAAGTAAATAAATAACTCCTGAGGTGCCAGTCGGTTATGTGGTAGTTAATCCCACATGGCCCAATACACAGTTCAGTACCCAGCCCGGCATCTTGAAGAACATGTACCCAACAGAATGAGGGAGAAAGGATTGTGGTGGGTCATCCCCCTTGAAGGAGTGCTTTCTCATTTTTTTTTTCTCTTTCTCTCTGGTAAACACATGTGCCTTATAGCAAATTTTTTTAAAAAAACCATTTTAGGAACTGATGCTTTGAGCCCTCCCATCTGGGTCACTTCCTCATTCCCTGAAAAAAATTAATCCTTTTATAGTTTCCTCCAAAGAATCTTCTCAGAGCCCTCTTTATGTCTTTGTTCCTCAGACTGTAGATGAAGGGGTTCAGCATGGGGGTGACCACAGTGTACATCACGGATGCTGTTGCACTTGCGTGTGAGCTGCGGGTAGTGTCAGAACTCAGGTACACACCTATGCTTGTACCATAAAACAAGCAGACCGCAAAGAGGTGAGAGGCACAGGTGGAAAATGCTTTATACTTTCCCTGGGCGGAAGAGATTGCAGACATAGAGGAAACTATCTTATAGTAAGAGTAAAGGATACCAGAGAGGGGAAGGCCACCCAGAAGCCCAGCTGCAAAATAGGTCACCATGTCATTCAGAAAGGTGTCAGAACAGGCCAGGTGAACCACCTGATTGATTTCGCAGAAAAAATGGGGAATTTCCAAGAGCGTACAGAAGGACAGCTGCAACACCATTAAGCTTTGTATCAAGGAATTCAAGACACTCACGATCCAGGATGTGAGCACCAGCAACACACAGAGCTGGGGGTTCATCATGACGGTGTAGTGCAGGGGGTGACAGATGGCCACAAATCGGTCATAGGCCATTATGGTCAGCAGAAAGTCATCCAACACTACAAAGAGTATGAAAAAGAACATCTGGGTGATGCAGCCTTCATAGGTAATGACCTCGCTCTGTGTCTGGATGTTCACCAGCATTTTGGGGATGGTGGTGGAGGTGAAGCAGATGTCCACAAAGGACAGGTTGGAGAGGAAGAAGTACATGGGGGTGTGCAGGTGGGAGTCGGAGATGGTGGCCAGGATGATGAGCAGGTTTCCACACATGGTGACCAGGTACATGGAGAGGAACAGCCCGAATATGAGGGGCTGCAATTCTGGCTCCTCTGAAAATCCCAGAAGAAGGAATTCTAAAATTTTTGTTTTGTTTCTATGTGGTGGCCATGACTACCAGGAAAGAGAAAAAAATAATAATAACATGAGTCCTCTTCACACACTTGAGCATAGCTGATACACTTGAAAAACTACCATTGAGGGAACCAGCAGTTAGCGTAATGGTTATGTCGCTGGACTCCCACGTAGTCGACCGCAGTTCGCATCCCGGACCCGGTGGCTTAAAACTCACGCCGGGCGCGTGTGCGTGCGTGCCCAAGATTCCGAGAGGAGAATGGAGGAGAAGAGATTGTGGCATGACCATCCCCACTGGGGGGTGATTTCTCGCTTTCTGTCTCTATGTCTCTCTCTGTCTGTCTGGTGAGCGCACGCGCCCTATAGTGAAAATCTCTCCCAAAAAAAAAAAAAAAGCTACCATTGATATATTTCAGTCAAGAAATTAATCTCAATATTTTGTTTGTGGATCTGGTTCCCTATGGCATTCCCAGAGCCACTAGTGATTAGAAACCACTGTCTCGGGACCAGAAGTTAGCACAATGGCTATGTCGCTGGACTCCCATGTACTCGACCACGGTTCACGTCCTGGACCCGGTGGCTTAAAACTCACACCAGGCGCGTGTGTGTCCAAGATCCCAAGAGGAGAATGGAGGAGAAGGGATTGCAACATGACCATCACCCCGGGGGGTGATTTCTCGCTTTCTGTCTCTTTGTCTCTCTCTGTCTTTCTGGCGAGCGCACGCACCCTATAGCAAAAACATCTCCAAAAAAATGAAAACAACTATAAAGGATAAATAGAGGGTGCTTTTTGTGTTTTTTATAAAGCACATTTCTTTATATTTTTCTTTTCTTTACACTTTTTAAATATACATTTCATCACTGTACATCTTTTTCTTCATTAAATTCTACTCTTTTCTTTTTTTTTTTTAATTTGACCAGAGAGAGACAGAAAAAGAAGCACAAAAGGAAGTTTGCCAGGTCCAGGTCTTGAACCGCAGTCGACCATGCAGTGGGAGAGCAAGTCAGTCCTCTGACTTAAGAGCAGTTAAGCAGCTAGTAGGACCAATATCCTTTTTACCCTTGCTCTGGCAGACCCTGAGCCTCGAGTAATGGGGATCCCAGACAAACTCCCAGTAGAAAAGGTGATATTTGAACAGAGACTACCAAGGGATAGGGTCAGAGCCAGGAGGTCATCTGCAGCTATCTTACTAGAAAAGGCAATAACCAATGCAAAGTCCCTGAGAGAGATTTTAGGTTCAGATGCTCAAGGTCATCAAGGAGCCAGGGTGAGAGTATAAAAGAGCAAGACGAGGAATGATTAGAATTGGTCTCACAGAACATCGAAGACTGTGGTGGACTCCCCACTACAGCTCAAACTGCAAGACACAGGGAGAATCTTGTACACACTGTGTACCTCCTGCGTGTAATATTAATTTAGTTGCAAAGGCAGTTTGTGTATTGAAACGGACACTCTCCTTACTGTCATCTGCTGCTGAGCACTCAGTACGTACTGTGAGTCACCTTGGAATATTTGAACTCAGCTATCCAGGGACTTTGATTTGATTGTCAATCCCATGCATACTTAAAAATTATATTGTGCACTACCGAGGTATATGATACTTGAATGTAAGTAAAAATCATGAAGGGATTGGCAGTTAACACAATGGCTATGTTGCTGGACTCCCATGTAGTCGACCACGGTTCGAGTCCCAGACCCGGTGGCTTGAACACTCTGGGCACGGGTGCGTGTGTACCCAAGATCCCGAGAGGAGAATGAAGGAGAAGGGATTGCGGCATGGTCATCCTGCCAGGAGGGTATTTCTCGCTTTCTGTCTCTGTCTCTCTCCGTCTTTCTAGCGTGCACATGCCCTATAGCAGGACTCCCATGTAGTCGACCACGGTTCGAGTCCCAGACCCGGTGGCTTGAACACTCTGGGCACGGGTGCGTGTGTACCCAAGATCCCGAGAGGAGAATGAAGGAGAAGGGATTGCGGCATGGTCATCCTGCCAGGAGGGTATTTCTCGCTTTCTGTCTCTGTCTCTCTCCGTCTTTCTAGCGTGCACATGCCCTATAGCAAAACAAAACTCTCAAAAAAAAAAATTAAAAAAAAAAGAAATCATGAAATAAAAAGGTAAATCTAGAAAGGTAAATCAGTTTTTCTTAATTTATAATATAAGACTACAAAAATAATTACGTGCCTAAAATCCTAAGGATTTGATAAAGAAGTATAAGATAATATTTATGAATTCCCATTTCTTTTGAAACATCCTCTGGGAACCAGCGGTTAGTGTAATGGCTATGTGGCTGAACTTCAAGCTTCCAGGTCTGGGACTTGAACCATGGTTAGCCATGTGGGAGTCCAGCCACCTTAACCACCACACCACTTGCTGGCCCCAAAATCCTCTGTTTTTAAACATTTTCAAAGAGTTTTTATCAGGTCTTACCAGAATAATGTAACACTTGGGGACAAAGATGCAGCCCAAAATCAAAGTGGAAGGACTTATACACACACACACATACATGCACACACACCATGCTCAGTATTACTGGATCATATGTATACACACATTTACCTATCATCCTGTCTGTTGGAAAGGCTGAGGGCTCACGGGTGACATCAAATTGAGAGTGCTTTGTCTCTAAAGGGAAAATGAGGACAGAGTACCCAAATTTCAGTGAGTAAGACTCCCATGGACATTTGGAGCTCCATTTTGGCATTCTCATATTCATGCTGTGAAAGTTGATTGTGTGTGCTATAAAGATGTACAGTAATTAAATGTAAAAAAAATAAGAAAAATGAATAAATAAATGAAAAAAACCAGCACATAGGGCCCAGTGAAATGGAAAACAAACAAAAAGAAAAGGAAAATTCACTTCACAAGCTAAGTGATGTATAGCGATTGAAACTGTAAAAGAAATTAAAATAAAATATAATAAAAAATTTTTTGGAGAGGGTTTTGTTATAGGGCACGTGCGCTCGCCAGAAAGACAGAGAGAGACAGGAAGCGAGAAATCACCCCCCAGGGGGGATGGCCACACCACTATCCCTTCTCCTCCATTCTCCTCTTGGCATCTTGGGCATGCACACACACACTCCCGGCGTGAGTTTAAGCCACCAGGTCCAGGACATGAACCGCAGGTCCGGGACATGACCCGCAGTCGAATGCATAGGAGTCCAGCAACATAGCCATTATGCTAACTGCTGGTCCCTAAAATATAATAATTTTTTTAAAAAAAGATAGCATTACCTGGAAACAGTAAAAAAAAAAAAAAAAAAATAGGGGCACAAGGGTAAGAAAAAGACTTGCAACTCAGATGACCCCTGAGAGACCAAGATGAAAAGAAAGCTCACTTTGTGCAGGAGGCATTGTATCTCACCTTTTCTCCCTTGACATTTCAAATTACTAATAAACTGGAAAAAAGCAATTTGTCTGGAATAAGAAGGGAAATATTCTTTTGGGTTTTTTTTGAGAGTTTTTGCTATAGGGTGCGTGCGCTCGCCAGAAAGACAGAGAGAG